TCACAGAATATATTGATTGGTTTATATTCCGGCTCAACTATTCCCACAGTTCGCCTTTCACTCGGAACTGTCATCGAGGCGCACTTTCATTCCGATGACTTCAGGGAGTTCCAAGGATTCGCAGCCAGGTTTACAGCTGTTGATGACCACTGCGGTGGATCTTTTCTGGCGGACATGGGCATATTTACATCGCCAAACTACCCTGAGAATTATGATGACAATATGGATTGTTATTATTTCATATCAGTTTCTGAAGGAAAAACAATTCAGGTAAAGCCTATCTCTAATTGAATTACAAATTTTAAAAGTAAATTCGAAACTTCGCCGATTTCAATTCGTTTGATTTGGTTGAGATCGTTTTCGTATATATGTCAGCGTCTTCATGTCGATTCGGGGTCTTTATTCAATACTCCACGAATTTCTATTAACAATGCATTTTACACGTTGTATACGTCGCATACAACCCATAATGAATATGATGATTTTGGCAAATTAGATTAAATCGATGCCAAATTATTCATAAACCATATGTACCTGCATATAAGTCGTCTATACGTGTGAATAGAGATGCACTAGAAACCGCAACAAAATGTTAAACCAATGATGTGTACACTAAGGGGTCGTCACGACGCCTCGTGTTCGACGTAGGTCCCATAGGACGAATGCAACGCGTTTAAAATATATTGTTTGTTAACACATTATCTGAACGCGCGGTGCACTTTGGCCAGCGCTCTTTAATTTATGCAAGTGATATTACTCCTTAGATCCAGTTCAATGAATTCAATCTCGAAGATGTCTGCTGCGACAAGGTCGATATATACGATGGTGACACCATGTCCGCCGCGCTCTTGGGCAGTTATAAAGGAACGTCAGTACCACCTATAATTACGTCATCGAGTTCGGATATAATTGTGCATTTGACTAGCGACCATAGCAAAACAAATAAAGGGTTCGATGCGATTTATACATCCAAATCAGAAGACGTTTCGGGTAAATATTTACAATGAATTCGTATAACGACCTCGGATTTTCACAATCGTTCCACTGCGTCGTTTTCGATACATGGGTCCCATGCGACAATAACAGCACATGTAAAATTGAGTTTACATGGAAATCAAAGGCGCCGTGTAATGACTGTGATGGCGTTTGTAAATTTGATATACGACCAATCACTCGTACGTTGGTATTGTGTATTGCACCCTGGGTGTGATGATACTTGAGTACGCGTATATTTCCTAATAATGTAAATAAATCAACATTGACTTAACTTCTTTGCTGCATTTACAGTATGCTCCTCTCCACAAACAACCAACCTAGGTGGCCTAATTTATTCACATGACACGTATCCCCGTGACTACCCTGCTTTATCCACCTGCAGACTGAGTATTCATCCTTTAGGCGTATACGATCAGGTATATTTGAAGTTCTTAGATGTAGACCTATACATAGCTGCAGATAATGGAGGTAAGTAAATGTTCTTCACAATAAATCGCAGTGACTTTAACATTTGCGTTTGGTGGTTGTCTCGCCATGTCATGTTCGATATGGTATACAAAGCATATATTCATTGTTATATCTCACTTATTGAGGTGCATATGAATCTACTATTGACAAATTATACGATTTAATATCATCCGTACAACCTCATGACCTGCATTTACTAAACTCTGGAAAGTGTAATGGTCCTACTGCTTTTGAACGTTTCCTTAATATGGGCGGGTAGATTTAATTTATATCAAGTCAACTAGTGTTGAAAGTTCGGGCGGCTCGTCCTTTAAAGTATAAAGTATAACGCTGTCACATGGCATGAATTGTCCTGAATTGTGTTATTTCTTCAATGTTACTATAGCAACTATTGTTAAGTATACTGTGTACTCCAATGATGTCGGCGTTATTCTTTTTTTTTTCTTTTAATTTACAGAATGCTATGAAGGTGATGTAATCATTTTACTCTACCGGTCCGAACCGGTTCTACACGCGATATGCCACGGTAATGGAACTGGTGTTTCTTACACTGATTCGTTAGGTATAACTATTGAAATGTCGTTTACAAACCTTGTAGTTACAAGTGAATACCGAGGATTCAAGGCCATTTATTCACTCTACTATGAGAAAGATAGTAAGTCAACAATTATTAAACTATTATTTATCCGTACTGGGAGAAGGCGCAAACGTTAAATAAATGTAATTTACACTGAATTTACTATAATCTAGTTGTTATATTAGGTCACACTGCTGCAACTATGTTGGGATACGTAGACATGTGTGCATATGTACTAGTATGTTGTATAATAAATTTGAATTGAATCAGTTTTATTTTTTTTACTTAGCCATCTCTCAGTCATGTTTACACGGACACGACTTTCTGTGCAGTAATTATCGATGCATATCCGACTCGTTACGATGCAATAACTACGACAATTGTGGTGATAATTCTGATGAAGACAATTGCTCAACGTCTTATCGTAAGTATTACACCACCTAGTGTACGTATCCGTTGGTTATGACCGATGGTCGAATTAGTTGTAATGATTGGTTTGGAACCGTCTGTCTTATTCTTCCGAGAATCCTGGCTTCAGTTTATCGGAAATTACAGTCATTCTCCTATAATTGCCACTTTCGAGTTATAAATTAAATTGCACCCATCCGCTCATTGTAAATGAGCGTACGAACACATTAAAGGGTGGCAGTCGTTGTGCCGCGTTCTGTTCGATATGGGACTCATAGCGACGTATACAACGCGTGTAAAATACATTGTTTATTTACATGAAATTTGCTGCGCGACGACCACCGCGCTTTAAGTTTGGTTGGAATACTTTCACGTTTTGCGCTTCACACTTGTGATTTCATTAATACCCACTCCGACGAAAAGTCGACGTCAGTGGCAAGTCTGTTTGATCTGTATCCCGTGTTTCAATATTTTTTTCAGTAGTAATTGCCATTGCTGGCGGTGGTGGCGTACTTCTCATAGGCATCATCATAATCGTGACTTGTTTACTTTGTTGTCGATCTTCAAGACACGCGTCATCAGCAAATGCTTCAAATACACGGTAGGTAATCAATAACTTTAGTATCGTCACACTTCGTAACAGGTTTTCATAAGACGGTGATGCCTCGCATACCCGCTTGGCGACACGGGGCGTTGTAGATTCGGGGTCTGGGTGGGCGACTTGCACTCCAGAACATGTTTACGTATAGCAGTGATGCCCGCGTTTCGTAAAAGGTTTGCATAAGACGATGACGCTCGACCCCCAGCATTGAATGCATCGTACAGACGTGTCAGAGTTATATACACGCATGCGCATAGTTTGGCAATATTTGCCAATGTAGAATTCGTTCATGTCGTATAATGTAAAATACTTTATTTTTAGCTGGAATTAATTTTCGCTGAACAGACTTTTTGGGTGTTTTGTAGTATGGAGTTTGTTTTCACTGATTTTTGATGAGTTGAATGTAAAATAAAGGGACAACGGTATATTCGCTGGATTTTATTTTCACTGAATTATTCCTTCAGCACAAAAAGCGAAAATAAAGTATTCTACAGTACGTAAATATGTCCTTGCCACACAAACAAAGCTTATGTTTATAATATTTCTTCGCAGAGCCCATCCAGTGGATAATGAACGTACCAACGAAACGCCGGAATATGGTCGCCCGGCAACTGCTCCAGCTCTATCCGTTGATGAATCAAACCCGCCTTTCAATCCATTATACAATCAACAATATAGTGACAGCGTGTACGTGAATCCTGCAACTGGTCAAGCTTATCACCGTCAAAAAGAACCGCCACCCCCGTATAGTGTAGACGGCTCTCTTCCTGCAGTTGTTCAAACTCTCCCGGCTTTGACTTGAATCAGTGTACAAAAAAATGTATCTTCTTTTATTTTAAAAACAGATTTAAAAAAAAAAAAATTGTTGACCTCACATTTCGTACTTCGGGCACAGAACGCCCTATACTGCAAAATATGTTAAATTTGTACCTGTGCCGTTATATAGAGATGTGTGTTAATCAATCCGTCCTAGTCAGACGTGAATATGCTTCCGTTTCGTGATCGATCATTTTAAACATTTCCTATAAATCGCGCCCTCCAGTGGCGATGCATTCTATGACGCAAATGGATGAAACGATAATGGCCATTCAAAACGTCTTGATTTGTTGTCATGCGTCCCAATGGAGACATACGCCATATCACTAGAGGGCGCCATAGTACATGTAATATGTGTTGTTCTCTCAAATATCCGTCAACGTGACTGTTAATCTCTTCTTACATCCAACGCTCATGTTGCGGTAGTATATATTGGTAATAATGGTTTAATTCGCTGATATGCATCTTTCAATTATTTGTAAAACGACAAATCGTTTCCACGAAATAAACCGATGTATTTAATGGGGGAATAAACCCCAGTAAGAAGACATAGCGTCCAGCTTTAATCATTACTTTTTTATACCCCCCCCCCCCACCACTAAAAGTGTAGTATTTAGATAGAGAAATATCGAGTGGTGTCACCACACATAGGCTGAACAGTTACCATCAATTAACGAGATGTATTCGATTTCCGTCCCGAATAGAAAGTTATTTATTAAATAATACTTTTGAATATGTGTTTTTGTACTTAACTCGTTTTGTTAATTTACTGTGTCATAGATAAAAGGAAAATGTTCGTCGTCGTCTTTCATAATCTTGCTGAGACAAAGTACGAACCATCAGAAAGTAAGACCCAACTCCCAACCGCTAAGACTTTCTTAAAAGTAGTTCAAATCAAGCCAGCCGTCTTTCTATACTTGTAGTTGACACTCTAAGTGTAGGCGTCAGTCTTCCACAGTCTTCTTTTTCTAACAGAAACTGGCATTGTTATGAAGAAAATGGTAAATTGAGACCGTTTGAAACTTTCCTAAAACGGCAATTATTGAGAACTAAGAATCTACTAAACTAGCACAGAGTACTTTCCCAGTAAATGCTGAACAAGAACTGTCTAATATCGAAGGATAGTGCACTGTT